GTGTTCTCCACCCTCCCTCCCGCTGGGCTCCATGGATTCCACTTCCCATGGGAAGGGGCTGCTGCAGGGGTCCCCAGGCACAGTGGGATCCCCTGGATCCCCTCCCCTCTGGGTTTCCATGGAATTTCCCCAGGTTCTCAAAGGCTGGGGATCTTTGAGGTCCTCAGGGAGGCTGAGCTGTGGAAAATCGGGAATTCTGGGGGGCTGCACCGAGAGGACCCTCCCAGCCCTTGATCCCAGGGGATCCCAAGGTGCCATGGGACCTGGGAAGGGTTTGATGCCTACAAGGAGACAGGGTCCCCCCAGCACGTGTCCTGTCCCGGTGTCACCATGTCCCCGCGTCACCGCTCCGCTGGCTTCTCCCATCCCAGCATCACCCATCACGCTCATCCCAAGGAAACGGGCTTTTTGGGAATTTGGGAAGAGCAGTGGGGCTGCCTGGAGCTCCATGGGGTGAGCATCCCTCAGGAGCCTCCGAGTGGGAAGAGTGGAATTGTCCCCATGTTCCCATCAAACTGGGTTTTGTCACCTTGTCCTTGAGGTGGGAATCGTGGGAAAAGGGGATTTTCCTTGGAGAAATCCAGAGGGATCCATTCCAGGTGGAGTTCAGGGAAGGAGGGAGCTCCGGATGTTCTGCGGGATCTCTCATGGGAAGAGATCGGCTTGGGAAGGCCCAGGGGCAACACTCGGGGAATTGGGAATTTTCCTATGGATTCCAGCCCAGAATTCCCTTTTCCTGCTGGGATCAGAGAAGGGGAAAAAGGGAATTTTAGTTACAACATCCCTGACCCTGCCAGAGCTCCCTGCTGGAGCTTCCCAGGATTGCTCTGGATTGTCCCTGCTCCGGGACAGAGCTCATGGATAAATCCCAATCCCAAAACCGCTACAGACAAATCCCAGCTGGAGCCTGAGACCCCCTTGGGCCTCCTCCCCATCCCTGCTCCAGCCTGGGCCCCTTGGGATGTTTTTCCAAAGGGATAGCCATGCGTCCTTCCCAAAATTCCCAAATCCACATTCCCAAATGTTCCCAGACTCTGCTCCAACGGCAGCTCCCAACTTTTGGCATTCCCGAGGTGTCCCTACTCCTGGCACAGCTCCAGCATTTCCTGCCTGTCCCACTGCAGAAAGGGTTAAAATTGGGAATAGTCCAGGGGTTTTGGGGACGTTTGGAGCCAGCATTCCAAACCTGGAAGCTCGTGGTCCATATCCGGGTGGGATGAGGCCATTCCCTCCTTCCCGACAGCGCAGCCCAGGGATCCTGGGCAATTTCCACAGGTTATTCCCTCTGGGAAGCACCGAATCCCCGGGAACATCCTGTGGCCTTTGGGGGTGGCCGATGGCACCGTCACTGTCACCAGCCCCGGGGGGACATGGAAAAACTTGGGAATTTTGTGTCGGCTGCTCGGTGTTGTTTTTGGCTGTGGGGCATTTTTCTCATGCATTTGTTGTTTCCTTCCTTTCCCAAATCCCTGCCTTGCCCAAATCCCTCTTTCCGATATCCCTGCCTTTCCCAAATCCCCCTTCCTTCCCAAATCCCTCTTTCCCAAATCCATCTCTTTCCGATATTCCCGCCTTTCCCAAATCCACCCTCCTCCCCAAATTTCTCTCCTTCCCAAATCCCTGCATTTCCCATTTGCCTGTTTTTCCCAAATTCCTCTTTCCCATTTCCCTGCCTTTCCCAAATTCTACTTTCCCAAATTCCTACCCTTCCTAAATCCCTGCATTTCCCATTTCCCTGCCTTGCCCAAATTCCTCTTTCCCATTTCCCTGCCTTTCCCAAATCCCTGTTCCTCTCCAAATCCCTGCCTTTCCCAAATTCCTCTCTTTCCCAAACCCCTGTTCCTTCCCAAATCCCTGCCCTTCCTAAATCCCCTCATTTCCCTGCCTTTCCTGAATTCCTCTTTCCCATTTCCCTGCCTTTCCCAAATTCCTCTTTCCCATTTTCCTGCCTTTCCCAAATCCTTGGCCCTCCCCAAATCCCTGCCTTTCCCAAATTCCTCTCTTTCCAAAATCCCCGCTCCTTCCCAAATCCCCTCATTTCCCTGCCTTTCCTGAATTCCCTGCCTTTCCCATTTGCCTGTCTTTCCCAAATTCCTCTCTTTCCCAAATCCCTGGTCCTTTCCCGAATCCCTCCCCGCTGTTCCCTCTTTTCCCAGCAGCTCTGTCGCTGTCCAACCCTCCAGGCTTTGGCTGAATCCATGCAATTCCAACCGCCCCATCCTCGGCTGGCCACGCCCTCACCCATCCCACGGGAACCATNTCGGGGGAGCTTTTCCAAGGAGGTCTGGCCCCTGGGGACTCACAGAAGCATCTCAGGTTTCCCAGTTTGGAGCTCTGGATCCAAAGGGAAAGTTTTCCAAGGGTTTTTTTTATGTCTTTTCTCATTCCTTTGTTTCTCTTTAACCCCAAAAAGGCTCCTGGGAAGCGGAACTCGAGCTTCCAAAAGGAGCGTTTCCGGTGCTGCTCTGCAATTCCATGAATTCCTTTGTATTCCCACAGATCTGAGGGAGGAGGAGAAGAAACTTGAGCCCTTTGGGGTTTTAGTTCCTTTTAGGGTAAAACTGCCTCTTTTTCTACGATCCTGAATGAATTCCGTGTCCCGGGAGCGGTGTCACATCCCAGCAAAAGCTTGGAAAAACACCCCCCTGTTTCCTTGTAGGCTTGGGGCCTTTTCCTGGGGAAATTCCCACGGGAAGCAGGGATTTGGGATGAAAATCGAGGGAATTGGCTGTGGGGAGGGAAGGAAAAGGGGGATTGGGATCACTGAGCGAGGGAGAGTGGGAATAGAAGGGATTTGTGTGGTAGGGAGGGGTGGGGACGAGGTGGCCACTTGTGGAGAGGAGGTGGCCAAATTTAGGGAGGAGGTGGCCAGGATTGGGAAGGAGTGGCTGGGATTGGGAAGGAGGTGGCCAGGATTGGGAAGAGGTGGCCGGGATTGGGAAGAGGTGGCCGGGATTGGGAAGAGGTGGCCGGGATTGGGAAGAAAGTGACCAGGATTGGGAAGGAGGTGGCCCCATTTGGAGAGGAGGTGGCCAGGACTGAGGAGCAGGTGACCAAGGCTGAAGAGAGGGTGACCAAGTTTGGGAAGGAGGTGGCCAGGATTGGGAAGGAGGTGGCNACGATGTCCTGAGGATGATGCTGTGGTGACAATGATGCTGTAACAGTGACAGTGCTGTGGTGACAATGACGATGTGGTGACAATGCGGATGCTGTGGTGACAATGACGTGGTGATAATGCTGTGGTGACAATGATGATGCCATGGTGACAATGACAATGTCCTGACGATGATGCTGTGATGAGAATGACAATGTCATGACAGTGACAATGCTGTGGTGACAATGACGAAGGGGTGACAATGGCAATGCAGCGGTGGCAATGATGTGGTGACAATGACGATGCCATGTTGATGATGCTGTGGTGACAATGACGACATTGTGGTGACGATGACAATGCTATGGTGACAGCGACGGCACTGTGGCGACAATGACGATGTTGTGGTGATGATGACAATGCTGAGGTGACAATGCTGTGATGACAAGGATGATGTGGTGACAATGATGACCCCATGGTGACAATGCTGAGATGACAATGTCGAGTCCTGGGTCACCCCCTCCCTGTTCTCTCCTGGCCAAGCACCAAGGATGGGTTTTTCTGGGGCTTTTCCATGTTTGAGGATCTCCAGGTGTTGTCCCACTCAGGAGGTGACAAAGGTGGCCTGTGGCACCCCCCGGACAGGACATGGTGGCACCAACGCCACCCCGGTTCTGCCTCACCCCGCCAACCCTAAAACGATCCCAAACCTTCCAAATGGGAGCCCAAACCCTTAAAAAGCTTGGGAATATCAAATCCTAGTGGGAAGTGACCCAAAATTCTGAGTCTTGTCCTGCCCTTTCAGGCGCGGCCCCACAGAGCCGCCATGAGCCGGTGTCACCCGCTGTCACCCGTGGGTGCCAGGGCTCAGCGAGGTGCCAGGAGCTCTGGATCAAGGGCAGCCCTTCCCATGGGAAAAGCTTTTCCAACCAAACCATCCCACCCATGGCTGCTCCGGCACATGGTGCTGGCACAGGATGTGACATTCCAGGTGGTGGCCTTGGGGACAAAGTGTCCTGGAGCATCCTGGGGTTACTCCAGCCTATCCCAGCAGATCCAAACTGGGAGTACTGGGAGTGGATCCAGGGGTGTCTCCCTGTCCAAGAGTGTCATTCCCTATGGAGCCAGGTGTCACCCAAGGTCCCCTCCCTCATCCCGAGCTGAGGCCGTTCAGGGATCCTCTGGAATCGAGGCCTTGCCCATCTCCAGTGGCGCTGGAATTTTGGGAATTCTGAGCTTTTACAAGCTCTTTTACCAGGATCCCATGCTGGTTTGGGATTCCCTGCTGGGAATCCTCCAGCTCCTGGTGACATCGGAATGTCCCTTTCCATGTCCCCATCCCTTCCATCCGTGTCCATCCAACCTCCCGGTTTTCCCCTGGAACGATTTCACCGATTTTGAGGATCAGCCCTTCTCCATCCTCTCTTCCTGCTTTCCCTGCAATCCCTGCAATTCCCAGGGCTCTGTGCCCTGCTCATCCAGCCCCTGGAGCCTCCTCTTTTCCTGCACATCCCGTCCTTGCTCCCCACCGGAATCCGGCCCTTCCAGCCATCCCACAGAGTCCCACATTCCCAGTTTTTCTCTTTTGGGAAAGTCACGACCTTTCATCTCCCAGTTTTGGGATGTCAAAGGCTTGAAATGTTTCCCGGGGAGTCGGTGGGGAATGGAATTTTTTGGTGATGGCAGCCGCTCTCCCGCATTGTCCAAGTTCTCCTGGCTTTTTATATGGAATTGCTGTGAATTCAGGGAATAATGGGAGCACAGTTAGGTAAGAGGCAGTGACCCAGTTTGGAATGCGTTTTCCAGGCTCTGGAATTGTCCAGAGAAGGGAAGTGTCACCTGAATGTCCCTCAAGAACTGCCGGGTGCCAGAGCTGGCCTGGAATCCCACAGGGATGGGGACAGGGAGG